TGCCGTGGAAACACCCCCCCCACCCCCAGGCCACGCCCCTTTCCCCTCCCCACCCGGACACACCTTTCACCTGCGGCCAATCAGGGGCCCGAGAGCGCCAGGCCACGCCCACCCCCTCCCGCGACCACGCCCAAGCCCCGGTGATGGAGGGAGCGCGCCGCTGACGTCACGGGCTCACCTGGATGCTCATTGGCTGGGCTGGGAGTGACGTCACGGGGCCCCGTCCTGCCGCGGGCGGTGTTAAAGGAGCAGGCGGAGGCTGCGGGGGCGGGGCCAGAGGGGGCGTGGTCAGAGGGGGGCGGGGTTAAGGGAGAAGTTGGGGGGGGGAACACGGAAGTGTCACCGCGTCACGGGAGGGGGGAGGGGGGGGGACACCCCCGGAGAGGGGGCGGGGGTGACAGGACACGCACAGGCGTGACACACAACACCCGTCGCACAGGCGTAGCACGCGTGACACGGACACAGCCGCCGGGGACCGGCGTGAGGTACAACCGGACAGACACAGCCACACGCAGCCCGGACGCGGAGTCACAGACGGACACGACGCACGGCTGTGCAGGGGTGTGACGCACAACCGCGCGGGAGCGTTTCACGCGCACGACAACAACCGTAGGCGGAACGACAACCTCCACACAGCCCTCAAGGCGATGCACAATCGGACACGGGCGCCTGGTACAAGCGCTCGTGGCCACACGCAGAGCTACAGCCACACACGGACGACTCTGGCGCAGCCCACGCACGGGTGGACGACCGCACACAGGCGTTTGACAGGCGGAGACACAACCGCACACGGATGAACAGCCGCGCAGGGACACCTGACACGCAGCCCCGCAGGGAGGTGCAGGCGTGCGCGAGCACAGCCGCACACGCGGATGCACAACCGCACAGAGAACACGCGTACAACACTCTCACGGGCGCACAGCCGCACACGGACGTGGCACAACCGCACACGGGCGCACAACCGCGCTAAGAACACACAGAACCCTCGCATGGGTGCACAACTGCACGCAGATATGGCACAACCCTCATACAGGTGCACAACCGCACAAAGAACACACACACAACACTCACACGGGCGCACAACCGCACAAAGAACACGCACACAACACTGACACAGGCACACAGCCGCGCATGGACGTGGCACAACCGCACACAAGTGCACAACCGCACAAAGAACACACACAACCGCACACGGGTGCACAACCGTGCTAAGAACATGCACACAACACTCACACGGGCGCACAACCGCACACGGACGTGGCACAACCGCACACGGGTACACAACCACGCAAAGAACACGCACAACCCTCACGTGGGCGCACAACCGCACAAAGAACACACAGAACCCTCGCATGGACGCACAGCTGCGTTAAGAACACACGCGCAACACCCGCACGGGTGCACAACCGCACACGGACATGACGCGCTCACAACCGTGCACAGACGTTTCACACACGCAGAGGCACAGCCGGCCACGAACAACCCTCGTGCGTATCCACAGCCGTGCACGGAGGCAGAGGCACAACCGCACAGGGACACGGCACAACCGCGCACAAACAACCGCCACAGAACTCCCACGCGGATGCACAACCGCATATAAACAACCCTCACACGGATGCGCAACCACATATAAACAACCCTCACACGGAGGCACAACCGCACACAACCCTCATACGGATGCACAACCGCACACGGGCACTGACAGGCAGAGGCACAACCGCACGGGGACACAGCACAACTGCACAGGGACACGGCACAACCGCACGGGGACACGGCACAACCGCACGGGGACACGCGGCGCTCACAAGCACACGTGGAGGTACAACCGCACAATAACAACCCCCACAAAACTCCCACACGGATGCACAACCACACACAAACAACCCTCACACGGATGCACAACCGCACAGAGACGTGACACAGCCACACAGGGACACGCAACACTCACAAGCACACGCGGAGGCACAACCGCACACAAACAACCCTCACGCGACCCTCACGTGGATGCACAACCGCGCAGGGACGCTTGACACGCAACCGCGCGCGCACAAACAACCCCCACGCAGCCCTGACACAACCCTGACACGCACGCACAACCGCGCACAACCGGACACGGGAGTTGACACGAACAACCGGACACGGACAAACGACTGCACGCAGATGCACAACCGCACCGCACACCCGCACAAACAACCCCACACGGACGCGGCACGCAACCGTCACGCCGACCAACAACCGCACACGCACGGCCCCGCTCGGATAAACAACCGCACACGCACAAACAACCCCCGCAGGCAGAAACACCCGCACACGGCCCTGACACACCTGCACGCGCAGTCACGCACGCTCACACCCGCTCGGGGACGCCTGACACCCCCCTCAAGCCCCCCCAGCCCGGCACAAACACGCAGCCGCCCCCCCTCCCCCCCCCCCCCCGCCCCCCCCCCCCCCCCCCCCCCCCCGCGTCCCCCCTGTCCCCCCCCCGGGGTCCGGGGTCCGGCCCCCCCCTCCCAGCAGCATTTTGGGGTTCCCGGGGGGGTGTTGGGTGTTGTTTGGGGGGGCCGGAGCGGGGTCCTGGGCGGGGGAGGGGCGTTTCGGGGTTCCCGGGGGGAGCGGGGGGGTGTTGCAGAGACACCGGGCACTTCGGGGGGGGTCCCGGAGCACTTCGGGGGTCCCGTGGGGACACTCGGGGGGTCCCGTCAGGGTGTTTGGGGAGGCTCCGGGGGTTGTTTAGGGGGCTCCGGGGGGGTGTTTAGGGGGCGGG